CTTTCAAAGTGTGTTATTTTAGGTTTTTAGACTGGTCTATGCATTTCATAATTTTTATTTTTCTCTTACACTTAAATTTAATTCTTTGAGTAGTGAGTTCTAAAATGCCTAACCTGTCCTGACTGGAGTAATTATCCCTATGGTAACTTTTAAAAAATATATATTATATCTAGGTTTTTGGTTTCTACTGGTGGCACACATCCATCCGCACATTACCTCGATATGGTGCACATAACAAATTCATTTCGCACATGGATGGAAAAAATTAGAGGGAATATTGACTCAGGACCCTTGCTATTACAACACAATGAAATTTCAGATTTAAATAGCTGAAATTGTGAAATTTACAATTTAAAAAATCCTATGACCATGAAATTGATCGAAATGGACCATGAATTTGGTAGGGCCCTACATATTACGCATAGGGACTGGGGAGATTTATTTTAGCAGTATAAGTCCTCGTCTATACATAGCCCCCTAACCAAAATAGTTAAACTGTGAGAGTGTGTGTGGATTTTTTTTTTTTGAACTAACAGTTATACGAGTAGAATCTTTAGCGTGGACGCAATAATATCGGTATAACTGTGCTTATTCTGGTACAGTTTATTTCTCTGTACAGGAGGGGATTTGTACCTCTTTAACTATACAGTATATATAGTTAAAGTGGTGTAGACAAGGCTGTAGTAGAATTACCACTGGGCTATCTGGTGCTGTTATATTTGTTACATTCCAGACATTGTTGGTTCCTATTCATAGCTATAAATATTGTCTCAACTGTTGACTAAGGCCTGGTCTACACTACGACTTTAATTCGGATTTAGCTGCGTTAATCCGAATTAACCCTTCACCCGTCCACACTACAGAGCCAGTTAATTCGAATTAAAGGGCACTTAAAATCGATTTCTGTACTCCACCTCGACGAGCGGAGTAGCGCCTAAATCGATTTTGTTAATTCGAATTAGGGTTAGTGTGGCCGCACACCACCGAATTACTGTGTTTAAATTAATGGGGTAGTGTGGCCGCACACCACCGAATTAATGTGGTTAAAAACCGAATTAATGTGCTTAGTGTGGCCGCGCACAATCGAATTTATACAACCTGTTTCCCAAATTCGAATTATCTAAATTCGGATTAATCCCGTAGTGTAGACATACCCTTACCTTTGCTAAGCTGCTTGCAAAGAGAAACTACTGCTGTGTGAAACTACATCTTGAGTGAAACAATGCCTCTGATGATAACAGATAATCTGATAGCACATTGCTTGCAATCTCTCTTGGAAGTTTTGCATGAGTTCTCTGCTGCTAACTGCCTTACATTGTGGGTTTTATTTCCTCAGTGTTCCCACTAAGGAAACACCCAGCTCCTCCCCAGGGAATAGAAAAAAAATAGGAATTTCATTCTTGCATTCAAGTAAAACCCAAATGTTGCCTAGGATGCCCAGCACAATAAGTGCCTGAAAGTGCTGGGTTCTGTTTTAAATATTTGACATGAACCGTAGGGTAGTTCTTAGACTTTGTAAAGTTTTAAAGCCATGTGGAAGCTTGTATTTAAAAAATAATGGCGAAGTAGGAGATATGTCACTGGGTGTGTTTATTTTCTTTTAACCCTAATTATATAGATTTTTG